CTCAACCCAAACATGGAGAAAAGTGGATAGAAACCTAGATCTAGCAATATATTATGAGAAAGGTAAGATATTGATGATTTATAAAGTTTAGAAATAGCACAAAATTATGAGGGGAGACTTGCTTGCAAGGACAAAGCACCAAGGACACCTTCTTCTTCTTCAAGGCACCAAAACACCACAAAAGCTAATCAATTACGGAGGCTAGGGTTCGTTTGAGGTTGAAAGGGAGGTGATGGAGGCTGAAGGTGTGCAAACCCTAGCCATCATATCCCTTAAATAAGGCTCAAAACCCGGAAAATTAGGGTTTATAACCTGGAGGTCGCCACATCGTGGCCAAGTCTCCACCACGTCATGATGAACAAAAATGATGCGTGTTTCTCCGGAAATGGCCACGTCGTGGAGCATCCTTCTCGACGTCGTGGCCTTCACAAAATTAAAATTTTAGTTAATTTAATTGTTGTAAGCATAAGAGAAAGCAACATGCGGGCATTGAGTACACATAATCAAGTATATACTACTCTGGCTATCATACTGACTAATCTGTACTAGCGTGCAGTTCATAAAGATGGTACACATATAATAGGCACATAAGGCATCCTTCCTAGATCCTTAGTCCTAATCTAGCATGTTGTTCTCATAAAGCGGATAAACATATCACATAAACTTGTATGGGTAATTTGGGACTACTTACTTGAGCTCGGCTGATTGCATGAACCACACCCTTTTTCTCTTTTCAAAATTCTTTTCTATCTTCCAAATCCTTTTTGTAAAATGATTTTCTTTTGAAAATTTTATACCACTTCCTTAGTTTGAGTTCAGACACACCCAAAAGTGTGCCCGAATCCCTCAAACCAAGGCTCTGATACCAACTTGAAACATCCCAAAAATACAAGCCAAAAATTTCGTTTTGAGAATATTATAAAAACTATAATCATCCATAATCAATAAGAAAACCAAGTGTCATGTATCTCAAAATCTCATATCAAATACTATATCAAAAACAAATGATAAAATATCAGAGTCTCAAACAATCCTAAGCTAAAATACTGTGGTGTGTGCCATACGATCACCCCGAGCTCTTCCCCTTGCTACCGAAAGAAGTACCTAAAACAAAAACTAAAACTGTAATCACGAAGCTTAGTGATCTCCCCCAAACTACCACATACCATACAATAAAACATAATGAGCCCCGCCGGGCATCGGACCGAAGTCCGGCATAAATTGGGCCCCACCCAGCATTGGACCGAAGTCCATAATAACTTGGGCCCCTTCCACTACATCGGACCCCGCCTGACATCGAACCGAAGTCCGGTATAAACTAAACATAAACATATAACATAATCACATATACTGCATCAGATTTGCCCAACATCGGACCGAAGTCCGGAACATATAACACATATCATAAACATGCATGAATCACAAAGACATCAAGCATACATACCTACTTCTCGGGACCGCCCCGACATCGGACCGAAGTCCGGAGCATATAAACTGCATTGGGCTAACCCCGACATTGGACCGAAGCCCGAAACTACTATCAGCTAAACGGGTCGGCATTGTGGTCATAGACCTGTTCCTACTGGAGGAAAATTCACCTCTCAATCTAGCTACTGAAAACTCGTGCACATGTGACACTGTCTGCTGCTCCAACTACTCCCTGGCTATAATGACCAAATAAACACTTAGTCAAAAACTGAATATTCTTCTATGGGTAAAATGACTATTTTACCCCTTTGATCTAAATTGGGCCATGACCTAAGTCCAATCCTTTCTTGTCCTCACTAAGGCCCATTAAGTCCCCAAATGGCCCAATTTTCTAAATTGGGCCCAACTCTTCAAATGGGCTTTCCTTTCAATCCCACAAATCCTTGGGCCCTTAAGTGACTACTGAAGGCCCTTCATGGCCTATTACTACTATGTCCAAGACTTGGCCCAAACCAAGGCCCAATAACAAAAGTCCACTGACTGAGCGTACGGTGAGCGTACCTCTCTGTACGCTATGCGTACTGCTGAAAAGGCTTGTACGATGTGCGTACGCCCAATGTACTCTCCTGTTAAGCACTTTTCTCCAAAACTGCTTAATCCCTTAAAACATTACGTCTAAACTGCAGATCTGAGTCCCATGCTTCGTCCTAACCCTTAAAGCTAATCACTTGGTGGCTTGCAACCCACCAAATGAGCCCAACACTAAAAATGACAATGAACTTCCATGGAAATGGCTAGATATCTTGCATGGCTTCATAAATGCCTCAAAGTTTGCAACTTTACAGCTAAAGGAACCCATTGAGCTTCAAGGGTTGCAACCCTAAGCTCAAAATCGAAGTTGCATGGCCAAGATCCAAACTTTGTACCTAAAAGGTCCAAATCTTCAAAACCCTAGATCTATGATTCTAGAAGGAAATATTGGAGCTTTTGTTGGATAAGGTGTCTAAGTCCATAACTATTTCTGGTATGTACTTGACCCGACCCAACATGGTCCATTTGGGTTGCATGGCACCAAGCATTTGGATAGACTAAATGAGAGAAATAACACTTGTGGTTTATTAATATATTATAAGTTCTAATATAAGAATAGTATTATTTAATTAGTATTGATCAAGAATTAATCTAATATTAATTAAGTGATCAAAAGGAGACTAATTAAATATATGGATTGATTGTGTAAATCATCCATACTTGTATAGTGGACTAGATGCTCCATGGATTATCAAGTTGGGCTAAGGTCCATAGGATGCTCCATGGATGCTCCATGGGAATTACAAACCCATGGGTCATGGAAATGAAGAGCCATGTTACATTAGGGTTTACATGGTGTAACCCTAATGCAACACACTATAAAAAGAACATGACATCCACTAAAATCGGCGACACTAGTGAGACAAGAGGGCAAACCGAATTAGAAGTGTTCTACATTCTCTCAAAGTTTATTCCAATAGCATTTGGTGTTGTGTGAAACATCTGAGGCATCACACTTGGGGTGCTAGGCTCTCAAGGTTTTCAAGGAATCAAATCAACAACAAGGTATGCAATTCTAGCCATCTTTTATGATTAAAGTTCCCCATGTATGCTAGATAGGATTATAAACCTTGGAAAAAGTATTTTGCATGTATTTTAGACAAACATAGATCCAAGGTTTTTCTAGGGTTGCATGTACACTTAGGAGTGTTAGAATGCCCATAACCCTTCAGGTTTATACATCCTTTGAGTTCCAAATGAAGAACTTGTTCCAGATCCTTGAGCTCAAGATACTCAAGTGCTTCTTCTCCAACCTTTCCTTTCTTCTTCCAAGTCCTTCTTTACTAAAATAAGCTCCAAATGTCGAACACACACAAGAAAAGGAGTATAAACGAATTAGGGTTTCTCTGAGGGTGATGGACAAGTGAGGAGGCCAAAGGGGAGGCTATAATGGGGTATTTATAGGTCCTAAACCCTAAAATTAGGGTTTGGCATCTGTCCGCGTATGCTGGGTGTACCTCTTGGTACGTGAGGCATACATCCCCGAGTCCTTCGAATCTAATGAGCACTACGCCCCGCAATACGCCAGGTTACACCCGACATACGACTTATGGGCAACCCATCTTCTTGGCCCATTTTCTAAGTCCATTCCAAATGGGTCCATTGTCCAAGTGTTAGTCCAAAACGATTATTAACATATATAATTTAAATAATACCTCGAGGAACGGGTGTTACATTCCAGTTCCTAGAAATAAAATTTTAAAATAACAATTTAAAGTTTAGTACAAAGCACATTATATAGTTAACTATAAAGCACAACTTAATGGTATTTACAACATGGTATTTACCTCATTTCTTTTCCAAACTCCTTCATTTTCTCTATGATACTTGGACAAGATTCAGTTCTCCATGTAGATGCTTTATCATCCAAAAAGTAAAACCTAGCCATGACATAGATTCTGATGTCGTCTAACATTGTTAGTAGTGGGTTTTCCTAATATCTATGATCATGGAGTTGAAGGTCTCAAAAATGCTATTCTCCACAGCCTTACATGCATACCCTTGTACAAAAATGATCTACACCATGATGGTGGATTTTTAGCCATCAACCAATCATATCCATTCGTGGTGATCTTCTTAATTTCTTCCATGTTAGCCATAAAATCCCCTTCATGTGAACTACTTGCAGCAGCCCGGAACAAGTTCTTTAACTCTAAACATGTATGCCTTTTCCTAAAGTTGGCATAAATGTGTCGTGCACACTGCCTATGTTCAACATGTGGAAGGATAACTTTCAAAGATTCTAGAAGCCCTTGAAACAATAAAGATAACATTAAGCATTAATATAGTTTACTCAATTTGTGAAATACCATAGGACCAAATTTGCAATTTTGTCTTTTTTTTTTTAAGATAAAGACTAAACTGCACAAATAGTCCATGTGGTTTGGTCAAAATTGTCACTTTAGTCAAAAAAGGTTTGGACTAACACCATAGGTCCAAATTTTTCATTTTGTTGCGATTTTGGTACGTTTCATAATTGGAAGTGTGTAAAATGACCTTTTTGCCCTCTCTATTTGGTTTTTCCTTTTCTTTTTATTTATCTAATTAAAATAAAACAAAACAAAATATAAACCTATCCTAATAAAACTACCCCACCAAATCCTTTATACGAGTCACAATATCTCTCTACTGGTTCGCCGACAATCGTCGGAAACCACCACTACTATCATCGGAAACCACCTCCGTTATCGCCAGAAACCACCATTATCACCGGAAAACACCATTGTCATCGACGTATAGCACTACTAGGCGAAGTTTAGACGTCATCGAGGACCACCACTAATCTGAAGAAACCGACCTTCTCGCTAGAACTCTCCCTTCTTGCCGAAACTCCGCCCTTCTCATCACAGACGAAGATGTAAACCACCACTTCACAACGTTCACGTTCTCCCCCTCTCTCTATCTCGCTGTTGATGAAGATGACGAAGCTAGGTTTACTGACGACAATGTTCGGACCACCACCATTTGCGAATATTTAAACGATGTCGGAGTCGGCACCTCTTATCACAGACGAAGACGTAAACCCTCGTTCCAGATTTGAAACCGCTCGTTCCAGATCTGAAAACCCTAGTAGTGGAGAAACATATCTTAAAACCCTAAGAAGCGGCGGCGCGATGGATTTGTCCTTCGTACCCCAGTTCTTTTGCTCCGGCGGCGATGTAACTCGATTAGGTGGCGTCTGGCGACGTAGATCTGCGATCAAATGAGAAGTTCGTAGCAGCAGAAGGGAAAGAAAGAGGGGTGGTGTCTGGGGTGAATCAATTTTTCAGCAGGTGGTTAAGGAGGTGGCTTAATTTTTCCTCTATGTCTCTCTTCGTCTCCCTTCTTCCGGCGGTGAAAATAGTAACACCGCCGCTGTAACCGGTAGCCGCTAAAACCGGCGGCGACTATGGTGGTGGTGGTTGTGATGTTGACGGTAGTGTTAAGTGTTGGAGTTCTAACAAAACAATACAGACAAAGAGGGAGGGGGGTTATTTTCTCTTATTTTTGTTTTATTTATTTCAATCAAAAAATTAATAAAATTAATAAAAAATCTGAAAAAGAAAATATCAAGGGTAAAAACGTCATTATAAAAATGTTTAAACCAAATTGGACTAAACTCGCAACAAAATGAAAATTTTGAATATCCGATCGGTCCAAATTTTTTGAACCAAAGTGACAATTTTGAGCAACCTACGAGACAGTTTTGTCAAAGATAAAAGAACAAGCTGAAACAAAACATATCCAAACGACGTCGCACGCCATCCCTTAATTAACAGTCCCCTAAATCGAAAGGAAGAGAGCCCTTTTCTTTTCATTTTGTTTATGTTAAGTTTTCTGGAGCTACAACTCAAACACCCATGAAATTCGATCGATCCGTGATATTTCTCGACTTCTTGCTTTTTCGTTTTCACGAAATAAGCAGTTGAACTCTCACTCTCTCAGGTACAGTTCGATTTCCCTCTCTTCGTTTGCCTTCTGCTTGGCATTAGATTAAAACGGTGCTCCATTCCCAGCTTCCGAATGTGTGTAGTTGCTATGTGTTTGGTGTTAGTAAATAGTAAGTATTTAGTGTTCAAGATGAAATCTGAGTGTTAATCTGTCCTTAGCTTCTGTTAATTTCAGGTTAATCTTCTATTCATATGAAGCAGTAGTAGATGTACTTATTATAATCTTGAGCACACAAATTATCCTTAGTATTGGTGAGCACATATTCTAATAAGCACATAAGTTAGAAGTATACATAAGGATCCATATTCTAATAGTTGGGAACAAGGTTATGGATAATATTAATAGATACATATGCCATGTTGTGGTTGAACAATTTTTTTATGCTTTTCCTAGAGTTGTTTTGGTAAGTAAGATTGCATTGGCAATTTGCTCCAGTGTTTTCTGTTTTTTAGTTCCCTTAACTATCATCTGTGAATTTGAGCTTGAAGGCTCTATTAATTTTGTTCAAGCACACATTACCTTATTTCTGTGATATAATAGAAACTTGTTTTGCTATAACTTGTTGTTAACCTTGATGAATATTGTGAAATTTGTGTTTTGAATGTAAGGGTAAAATGGTAATTTAGTCTAATGTTTCTGAAGTAACTATATAATATTTCAAAGGAACCATAATCTGTTAAGTAGTTTGAAACATAGTTAAGGTTGGTTTAGGTTGAAACTGGTGAAGATACTTAGATAAATCAAACACTTAGACATACCCAACACTAATATAAGCCTAAAACTTAGGTAGGCTAAAAACATAGATAAGCCCAAATGATTAAAAGTAGGTCTTGTTTGCCCTAAAAGCTTCAATCTTATAATGTAAGTTTACTTGTTCATATTTTTGCCACTAACTTGGATTAACCCAATTGTAAGTACTAGTAGTTGGTGTTAATCTGTTAATCTGAGATTGAGCTTTTTGTTAACAAATAATTTAAATTGTTATTTCTTCATTTTTCTTCTATTAGGTTTTTCATTTCAAGCGAAGAAATGGCTGGTGCTGGAAGCAGTAGCAACAGGTAAGATGTTAGCATCATAAATGCTTTTTCTATAAACATTTAACCTTTTTTATTTCCAGGAGCTGGGCAGATTTAGTGAAGGGTAATAATGGACCTCCAGATCATCCAACAAAGAGCTTTAATGTAGACTTAGGAGAGACTGGAGGATGGATAAAACTGTGCGAAGCACTAGCTTGGTGTGGAAATTTGTTTGGTGATATAGATTTTATAGACACTGAAAAGCTTGATTATACTCTTGTGAGGGCTGTAACAAAGGAAATGTGGAAGAATGCCGAATTATATGACGACCTGGCTGAAAAGTCCAAAGCACAACACCAAATGAGTGAGTATAACAAATATTTGGAGCTTGCAAAGAAACTTAGAATTGGAGCACAAAATCAACAAAAGAAAGACAGCATACGTTTATTTGATAAACGGTATGTTTCCATATTCTCAAGGCATAGTTTATTTTTATTTTTTTGGTAACAAATAATTAAAACTGTTATTTGGTTTTGTTTGAGATTGTAGACAGAAAGAATGTATGACTGTATTTGAACTTAATTGTCATGATCAGCACCAACCTGATGCATACAATATGCTTGTCATACATCTTTGGATTGCTTCTCAAATCAGAAGTAAGTTTGTTGCCTGTTTCAGCTTTTTTTAATTTTATTTTTTTCCTAATATATTCATTTTTATGATATGATGAAGGTATACAAAAGCTTAAGTTGATAACAGGTTATGGGAAAACAACAGGAACGTGTGTCTTGCAACCAATGGTACATATAATATAAGTGAAATTATATTTTAATTAAAGTATTTGTGTATTTACAATTTATAATGTGGTTTTGTGTTACAGTTTATGAAAATGCTCGACGATATAGGGATTCATTACAGCTTTGAAGAGAATAACCCTGGTGTATTGATTATTGATGTTGAGGACATAGGGACTAATTTCAAATTAGGTTAATTTTCTGTTTTTTGTTTTTTGCCTTTTGTTTTTGCAACAATCATTTGGCTATTCACTAGTAGTATTAACATCACATGTGGTATCAACCATAGAACATTGACTTTAACCTTTGCAACATGCATTTGGTGGAAAATATTTTTATGTTTGAAAAAAAATACTTATTAAACAATATATCAGATTTTTGTCGCTATGAAATTGCAAAAAAAGACATGCAAATGTATATAATACTATAAAAGATGTAGAAATTTTTTAAAATCGAAGATAGGCTAGAATAATTAAATGACAAAAAAAAAGGTAGGAAATTTAAGAAACTTGCTATTAATCAAGTCACAATGATTCTTTTCAGTTATACAACAATTGAAGAATAATTTTTAGGTTGACATATTTTTATATATAAATATAAATGAAACCATGTGTTTAGAGGTTACGTAAAAAAACGTTTTTTTTTTTTTCTTTCGTATTTAGCTTATTTCGTATATAAATCAAACCGAACATTTAAACAACTCTTCTAGTAGAAAGTTATGAACGAACTTTATAAAAAATATTGTGTGTTTTATAAACAAAAATACACACAAACAATCGTAACACATGATGCAGGTTTTTATTAAGTTTTATATTATATAAGAATATTAAATGGTGACGCTAATTATGATTAGGGGTGGAGAGAGGTCAGACTTGTCCATCTGTGTCACCGTTGCCGTGTTTCTTACCTCATACCATCTCCGGCCACGTCCCGCCGGCCGGGTATTGGGAACCAAATCCCCTCCCATTTGGTAATTAAGCCTATCCCTAGTCCAAACTGACACGTCCCCGACTCATCGGCACAAACAAACTCAACACACAGCTATAAACGGTATGGGCTTTTCTGAATACTATAAGATCAAAATGTATAATAAACTAACCTAGCTTTACCTCACCGACTAACTCTTTAGCACCACATTCTTGTTGGGCGAGAGTAAGTTATGAAATCTATTTGCAACCTTGGATTTGTAATGAACTTCTTCATCATAGTTTTTGTTCGAGACTCTCTCTCTCTCTCTCTCTCTCTCTCTCATACCATACCATTTTCCCGAATGGCCCCTGTGGTCCTTCTAGAATAATCCTGCAATATCTTTGTTTTGTTTGTTAGTTGCTTTATTAATTCTAATTATGTATCGATAGGAAAGCCGTAACATGACCAAAGGTTTGATGGGTTTTGCATGTAATAATGCAGAATAATCCTTATACTCTTAAGGGTAAATGCCACCTATTAGATCTATTTCATAACACTATTGAAACAACATACTATTGAACAACAAAACTAATAAACCCTACAAGAAATCAAATTTCATAATAAAGGGTTACATACCTCTGATTTGTTATTGCAAACCAATCCTTTAATTCCAACTAGATCAAATCTGAAGTCTCTCTGAAAACAAGCTCCAATTGTGTGTGAGCCTCTAATGGTTCACACCCACAATGCAAGAATCCTAGAAGGATTAGGCGAGAGGGGAGAATGGAGTAGAATTTCGGATCTGGTATGAGGAACAAGTGGCCAAAAATTCTTTATAGCTAATTAGGAAACTCTAGAAACCCTAATTTGAACATAAAATAATATTATTTCAAATAAGGCAGTTATCTAGTCCCTTAATTAATCAAGTGGAGGCTTCCAGATCCCTAAGAGGGTCTCCTAAAACCGTCCACACAAGGAAGGTTCTAGAACCTCTCCTTTGCTCAACTTTTGAACAATTACAAATATAGTCCTTCAACCTTTAATTAATTTTAATTAACTCATAATTAATTCCAAAATTAATTCTAAATTAATTATTACTATTTCTAATCAATATATTAATCATATAATATATTAATAAATCATTTATCTCTCTCCCACAATCAATCCAAAGTAATTTCTTGGTTATGAGGGCAACCCCAAAAAGGACTTTACTTTTATTCATCAATATTATACTAATTTAGTTATGACCTTAGACACCTTAATCCAACAGTCTCCCATTTGGATAAGTCGCTAACTACAATTGCAAGTACAACTTCGAATAACCAATAAAGAGTGTTTTCAAAGACACTGCCAAACTCTGATTAGATGTTGGCACTAAGATAAGTGATCATCTATTCATTCGTTCTTTAAGATATCATATGAACACGAGACATGGATACAAATCAATCTTATTGTCCAATATTATGTTTCCCGATTTCATATTTATGATGAATGGAATCATACTACTAATTGAACACATCAATTTAGTATGGGCAAGGTCTTGCACATGAATGTCAACATCAAATCACCAAGGGGCCCAAAGATATCACTTTTCCTCTTAAGTCAAAAGGAACGAATAAACTTTGACTATATAATCATACAAATTTACTTATCGAATCGTACATGGAATTACACTTTATAGCATCCAGTTATAAGATGTGTTGGAGTGAACCAATGTACAACTGATTCGTAAAACATGACTTATATATCTATGTTTTAAGAATAGAATATATTATTGTCTTAGAATTACTTGTGATTAAATCCATAAAGTAATCTCTAAGTGCAAGTTTAACTAATACTCAAAATCTCCATTTTCTAAGTACTCGTGAATTTTGCAGCAATCCATATGCAATGTCCAATCATATGGACAATCTACAAACGATTCATGACAGTCTTAAATCAATAGCTACTCCCAAAGTATGACTGACTATGGTATTTCGAATATCTTAATATACTGGAAGTAAACACATGCAAGGTGAAACACAAAAATAAAATAATTAAATATGGTTTCAAACTCATTGAATATATTCCCATTATTTAATCACCATATTAATTACAAATTTATTCATTATAGATTGTTTTGTATAATCAACTAACCATTTGAATTAAATAACATCAATCATGCCATGTTATAAACATGCATACTATGCCTCTCTATTGTTAGAATAATTGGAACGATATATTCTATATTGAAAGAGACATAATGAGAAATGAATCAATGATTTAAGAAATAGTGATTGAAAAGGGTTTGATCTTCATTCAATAACATTTAGAACAATTCGTTATAAGTCGGAACTATTCTGTATATGCACGAAAGAAGTGTTGAAAAAGGTAAACTAGTATGCTATTTATAGACACAAAATGAGATGACAATTCCGAAAACAGACATGCCCATTTCAGAATTATTATATAACAAACTCCGAAAACCATTACATTGCCACAACATAAACTCGGACTTAACAATCCCCCCCCCCCTTTGTGTCAAATCAGAATGTAGTAGTGTTCACTGCTTCTTGTCTTGAACTTCAAAAATCTTCGAAATAATATTAAATATAGACATTCTGATAGTGATATACCATCGAATCATATCAGAAACACACTTTGTATTTGCATCAGAATTTGTCTTGTTCGCTTCTGCTTTAGCCAAAATGTAATTCAGAGCTGCTGTAGAATACAAGTGTTTGTCTCTCAAAAAGAACATGCAATTCTTAATCACATCATTTTCCTTTGCCTTGTACACGATACTCCAACACTCCTTATCAATTGATCCAACCTTCAGATTCTTAATTTTGTCAGGTTGATCAAAAGGATTGAAAGTTGGTTTTCTTTTCAGAACGGAAACAACTTCAACATCTATCTTTGCGAACTCCAAAATGTAACACCCCGAGTTCAGAAATGCAAGTTCAGGGTTCTTAGTGTAAATAAGGAAGGTCGACTCGGCGAGTCGATGGATGAACTCGGCGAGTCGAGTCGCGGGTCTGGTCACATGTTAAGTGACCAACTCGGGGAGTTGGTGCTGAAGGGAGAAAAACCCTAATTCAGGGATTGTACCCTATATAAGCACATTATAACCCACCTTCAGCCTCTTGGCTACCCATTTGAGATCCAGAAACCCTCATCTCGTGTGTGTGACTCCATTGATGAAGAATTAGAGCTTGGAAGAGAAAATTGGTGTAAGAAGCTTGGGGATTTGGAGACCATCATCAAGGGGCTTGGATAGATCTGGAATCTACTTCTGTTTGGGCACATTCCATAGGTAAGGAACCTCCTCCTTAAGCTATTTCATTATTGATTCATGAATGGTGGTTGATTTGGGATTCATTAGCTTGTTTGGAGCTATCTCGAGTTTGAGGCTTAGATCTGAAGTTGCTA